GCGCTCAAAAACTTAACTTGAGTGGTCGTTATTATTTTCAACAAGATAACGACCCTAAACATACGGCGGAAATTGTGAAACATTGGATACTGTACAATACTCCCCATACCTTGAAAACTCCTCCACAGTCACCGGATTTAAATCCCATAGAACATTTGTGGGATATTTTGAATAGGCGAATAAGGAAACACCACATTTCATCTCAGAGTCAGCTAAAGAGTGTTCTTATGGAAGAATGGGAGAAAATAACAGAGGATACTACACGAAAATTAGTTAATTCGATGCCAAATCGTCTTAAGGACGTCATTAAAGAAAAAGGATATCAAACCAAGTATTAATTAGTAATAAATTTACAGTTTTATGTTATTAAAGCACACAAAACGAATAGTTTTGTCCCACAAATTTGTGTACCACATAATAAAAAAATTATTTAAAAATATTTATTGATTCTTAATTTTCTTGAATTTTATCTTATATTGAATAAAAGACATTGAAGTCTGCAACACATATTATTTTTTGTTTTTTTTTTCTATCAGGTAGAAATTCCAGCTTATAGAAGTTTAAGTATACAGAGAAACGAATACTTATGTCCACCACTGTATAAGTTTGCCATTCCGTGTGTAACACCAAGAAATATTCATCTGAGACCCAACAAAGTATAAATATTCATGACCTTATAAAATTCTGAGTCAATTTAGCTATGTCCGTCCTTATTTTTTTTCTGGATGGGGCCATAATTTGTCTGGTCTCCGATATACGGTCCATTTCCAAAAAATACTTGGCCGCACATATTTCATTGACAAAAAGAGATATCGCTATAAAAATTGAAATGTGTATTTTTTTGAATGTACATATAAATCATTCTGAAAAATATTTGAATCTGTCCATAATTGGTCAAAGCTCTCATATAAGATCCATTTCCTTAAGTCACTTTACCCCATATATTTCATTAACATACAAGTATATGTATATGGACAAAATTCAATATAGTATATTTTGTGTATCGATAAATCATTTTGCGAAATTTGGTTCGGATTGGCCATAGACTTGATCAAAGTTAACTCCATAGGTGTATATAGCAACTATTAATAAAATGTATTAAAACTCTGAAACTATTTAGATGGGTTTCAAATAGCTTATGAAATGTTTAGATGAATATGAAAGTACTTCGTGCAAAATTTTAAGAATCTATTTCTATTAGTTTCCCAGATAAAATATTTTTTGTATTTAGTTCATATGTGGGGCAGCTCCCCTCATTAGGATGGCGTGTCATAATGTCCATGGACGTTATGACAATTTCAAAAGTGTCACAATGTCCATGAGCAATGGGACATAATGTCCATGTATTTCAAAGAGTCCATTTATCAAAAAAGGCTTAATTTAGCGAAGCCGGTGTTCGAAATACACCAGAGTTTGAATGTCCATGGACATTACGACATTTTAAAAACGTGTAATGTCGATGGACATTATGTCGCTTTATAGTGTGTCATAAAGTCTATGGACATAATGTCACTGGACATTATGACACACCACCCCCATTGGTAGTCCGCCAATTTGTTACCCAAAATGTTTTTATGGATATTAAAGTTCTTCGTGCAAAATTTTTAGATTTTAACTACAATAGTTTCCAAGATAAACGAATTTTTGTATTTAATTAAAATGGGAGGTGCCACGCCCCCTGCTGCTAGTCCGCCCACTTTTTGTCCTATACATATAACCATATTGACTCTAAAATGGCTCCGACAATTTGAGGACTATAACTGTTATATTTTCTGAGATACTGATACTGATTTAAAATTTTCTTAATAATAAAATAAACAAGTAAGAGTACTATATTCGGCTGTGCCGAATCTTATATACCCTTCACCATAGTGTATTTAATAAATATCAATTTCATAAAATTTAAATTTATTTCATTTTCCCGACTATATCATTAATATAGTAATAGCAAAACAAAATGAACAACAACGCTAAACGAAATAAACACACAAAATACATAAGGCAGTAAAACCAACAGCATCCAAACATACGAAACAATATACACAAGGCAATGAAACACACAGGCATCCAAACATACGAAACGAAATACTAAAAAAAAACAACAACAAAATACACATCGCAATGAAACCAACAGACATCAAAACATACGAAACTGAATACTAAAAAACAATATACACAAGGCAATGAAACACACAGCCATTCAAACATATGAAACGAAATACTCAATGAATAAGCAGTGTTGCTGTTGTTGCTTATATCAAAGCATGAAAAAAATTGTCTTTTTTATGAAATTTTCAGAGGTTGTCTCGGATTTTTGCTCATATCTCCGGTATTTATGGACCGATTTTGCTGATTTTAAATAGCGATCTTCTCGAAAGCATGTCTAACAGAATTATTGAAGATTCGGATCTCGCCGATATCTGGGGTCCTCTAAAAACTGATTTCAACAAACACACAGACGGACAGACAGACAGACGGGCATAGCTTAATCAACTCCGCTACCTATATGGATCCAGAATATATATACTTTATGGGGTCGGAAAATTATATTATAGAAATTACAAACGGAATGACAAACTTATATATACCCTTCTTACGAAGGTGAAGGGTATAAAAAACAATTTCGACAGGCCGTCCCCTCTAGAGTCGTTCTTTGGGTTGTAAAACTATGTCATACAAAAATTAGGCAAATTCCCCAGACCATAAACGTGTCCTACAGCACATGAATTCGAAATGTGACAAAAAAATTTAAATTTTTTAGGATATATTGTAAAAAAAAACCATTTAGTTAAAATATTAGCTTTTTTCTTATACGATAACGCAAACTTGTTCTCAGCTATGGTCAAAAAAGTTTGATTTTTTCAACGGCCGTTTCAATTCTCCAATTTCTGTTTTTTTTGAAACTTCTTTAAAAAATTTTAAAATTTTTAGAAGAACTCATGGATATTTGTGGACAATAGATAATAAAACTGTAAAAAATTAGATCAATAATTCTTACAGTTTAGCTGTACCTGCGATTTGAACCCGGAACATTTCGGGAAAATCGCATTTTTTGTAGTATTTTCGAGAATACATATTAATTATTTACTGTCGTACATTTTAACCAAAGTATTTTCCGAGTATTATAAACCATCTTTACTTAATAACTGGTTACAAATGTGCTTACCCGACTTTTCCTGATTTAATACCGGATTTACAGTTATTTTCTGTGTTTATTAGTCTATTCTATTACCCAAAGCTCCATTAACAAGTTGTTTTATCGTGCTATTTGAAATAGTTTTTACACAAAGGTACAAATCAATATTTCTTCAAAAATCTTCTAATATCGACTAGGTTTAAAACCATTAACTAATTCCTTATTAGACATACGCTCTATACATCTGCCTACAAATCCTATCCAAAAAAATGAAATATTTTTATTAGTAAAGACCACTCATTACCACGTATTGTGTGAAATAACTACATTACCTACAATACTCATTACTAAAATTTGAAAATATTTCTGTTATGTCTCTAATTATATAGACCAATATTAAAGTTGATAGCGTTTTTACGCTTTTTTGAATTTCGGGGATAAATTTGTCCCATGTGTTTTAGAGGATTTATTTTACTTTTTCGCCTTTATTTAAAAAAATAAGACTTCGTACTAAAAATTTCAGTAATTTTTATTGAATAATATTTCAATATGGTATACTGAGAATTCACAAATATTGCAAAATTTTACCATTGAACTCCACAGTTTATGCGTTAAGAAAGTCCAAGTTGTATAAAACTTCGGATATATATTTTACAATATCTTTACTAAATACACTGAAAATGTTTTATTTAAAACGTAAAACAGTAAAGAATTAATACGAATTCTCTAAAATATTACAAAAAACCGATTTTCTCGAAATTCGCCGAGTTTAAATCGCAGGTACAGCTAAACTGTAAGAAGTATTGATCTAATTAGTGGGGAGGGTATATTGGGTTTTTATATAAGCTTTGATGACTTTGCCAAATTTCATAAAGATTGGGCCTCATTTGAATCTAGCTTCCATACAAAGTCCCCCTTCAGAAAATTACTTGAATGTCCAAAATTAACTTATAAACATAAACATATATATATATATATATATATATATATATATATATATATAAATATAAATATAAATATATTCACAAAATGTTATCGGGCTTGGTCCATATTTGCCCCTAGCCCCCCATATAAAGCCTCTTTCAGAAAATTTGTTTTTCATCCATAAATTGCTTAAATATATCGGAACAAGGTAATATTGAAGTTGATGCTTTATTATGAAAAATAAATCACATTTGATATTCATAACTGGTGTAGGGTATCATATGGTCGGTCATGCCCGACTATACTTTCTTACTTGTTTTTCACTGATTTATTTCCTTATCTATTGTTCATAAATCCCCATGAGTTCTTCTTAAAAAAATTTGTTTAACAAAGTTTTAAAAAAAATTTTGAGATTTGAAACGGCCGTTGAAAAAATCAAACTTTTTTGACCATAGCTGACTTTAAAGTATATGTTCGCTCAAGCACGACGTTAAAATGGGAAACATCTGTCATGTTTTTTCATTAAAATAAATGCATTAATTTTATGTTTCCCTTTGAAATTCACTTTAAATATTCATATTCGCGAAAAATTATAGTTATTGTTCGCATTCGCTAAACTGAAATACGTAACATCACTAATTAAAAGATATAAAAATCGTAGTTCCCATATCGTATTCCAGACAACATATAAACGAAAAGGCGAAGGGGTAGAAATGATTTGGCAGTGTCAAATATTACACTCTTACTTGTTTAATGTTAAGGATGTGAAAATGTAATGCTTTTTTCGTAATGCGACATCTATAGTAATGCTCCCTTTTGCAAAATCTCTAATCTTAACATAAGAAGGTGCAGAATGTTTTTTGTTTAATTTGTACACAAAACGTTCTTTAAAATTAATTATTAAAATAAACTATTTTCTAAAAGTCCACAGTTCACTTACTCGTTAGATTCTAACATCGATGTTGGGCTCAAACCACTAACACTTCCAGCACCACTTTTCATCATTAGAGGTCTCATAGAAATTGCCTCGCTATAAGAACGCAACTCTTCATTAGCCTTTATATCTCTCATGTTGTTGTTTAAATTGTTCACGCCGTTAATGGCAATTGTCAACTTTTGATTAACTCTTGTCTGCATTAAGTTTCTGGTTAAATGGTTAATGCCGTCAGCCACACTACAGTGCACAGAATCATAGATGTAATCGCCTTCTAAATTTGAATCATCGGATCTCATTTGCATATCACCTGGTCCTCCGCCAATATTACCATTTACGTGAGTTTTTTGCTGATCACCATGTCGACGGAAGGAAGACCAAACGCTACCAAATAAGGTATGTTGACGCTAAAACAGTGAAATGTTCTTGTTTTTAATATAATTGATTTTATTTTAATTATTTATTTAATACATACTCTGTGCATTGGTTCCGGTTCTTCAGCAAGTTCTTCTAAATTACCCGATATTGCTCTCTTTAAAGCAGGCGATACTTCGTGCAATGTTCTCAAACCAGCTTGCAAAGTGACTGTATTATTTTCTGATACCCCTTCTTTTCCTTCTTGCTCTTTGCGTTTTTTAAAACGCCTGAAGTAATCCTGTATAAGATAGGTAGCATAAAATTTTCCTACCGTAACTTCATCGTCATTCCCGGGCGGTGGTACAACCTGATCCAGCAGTTTAGGGTTAGTTCGTTTCCAAATCTGTTTAATTGTTGCACGCAACTCAGCATTCGCATCATCGATATTACCATCTGTTTTTATACTTAATGATGTGCGTACTACAGCAAACAAAGTTGCATTAAACAATACCGTGCCATCTGAATTCAGGGGCATATTCATGGAAACCAATCTTTTGCAAGCCATGCGATGAGGACACAACTTTCCAAATCCTAAGGGTGGAGAAATTTTTCTCAATAGTGTGACTACATCCAAATGTTTGATCCGTCCCTTAGCGTCGGGATCATATTCACTCCATAAACGTATAAATTCGTCCAAATGGTGGGGACCCAAAATGGACCAATCTCTTGTCAAGTAATCAAAATTATCCATAATAACAGCAACGAAAAGATTTATAATCTATAAAGTTAAATAAACATTATATAATCAATACATTATTGGCGATGGTTGCCAGATTTTAATTTTAACTAATATATGGGGAATTTCATGTCAAGTGAGCCAACTCAAAAAATCGATTTCGACGAAATTTGCACTAAAGTTAGTACTATTGGATTGTAGGTCAGATACAAATAATCAGCTCTATCGGTGAAGAACTGCTGGAACGGACTGGACAAAGCTCTTAAAGGAAATGGTGTAAGCTTTCTTTTGATTAAAACAAATACAACAAGAACGTCTATTTTGAAAAATAGGGGAAAATTAAGTGCCAAACTTTGAAAAAAAAAAAAAATAAAAGTTAAAAAATACTTTTTTTGATGAATCCCACTCGCATCCCATTATGGGACTATAAAGCCCTTTAAGGAAATTGTATAAGTTTTCTTTTAAGCAAAAAACAGAAAAATAAAGAAAATAAAGAAATTCCCCATGTAACTTTTCAATTTTATAACAAAATTTTATATATCTGGCAACGCTGTATAAACGTTAAATAAATTTACCAAAAAACTGCAAAGAACATAAAATGATATAAAATAGGGAAAAGCAATGCTGGAACCACAATTTCCTGGATGAGAATCTGATTCTTCATCACATTTTACTTCATCGCGTGGGGAACAATCCATCATAATATCTTGCCAGGCTTCACCGGTTGCCGAACGGAACAACACCAAAACTGCTTGCGGAAATGTTTGAAAATTATTATTCCGATGTATTGCCGTATCATCGTCTAGTGCGATTTTACCAAAGACCTGTATGAATATAAAAAAAATATATTATATTAAATAATCACAGTATGCTACAGTTAAACATTACTGAATAGTTTTTTTTTATTAGAAAATATTTATATTTGCATTTTTTAAACATAGTTTCGTTCAAACATAGACAGTGTTGCCAGGTTAGGCTTTTTAAGAATAAACTACGTTTTTATTTATCATTTAGCCTAATACTTTTTTTTACACATTTTAAATAAAATCTTTGTGAAGAAATATACATTTTTCTTTTCTTTGAATATATTTTATCTGTAAAATTTACTATTTTACTTGTTATGAAATTTGATCACAACAAGCGTAATTAGGCAATATTTTTTCTAAGTGTTTTTTAGTATTTTCTCACCACTACAATAACAGTTTCTTAGCGTCTCTCTTTCTGCGCTTGGCTGATTTAAGAGGTTATAATAAAAACATTTAGAAAACCTTCTAGATTATAAAACTTTGAAAGTTTTGTAACAAACAGATTGCTTATTAAGCATATCTTTTGATTACAATTACACAGGCTGAAAAATTTTTAATTCAGAGAACAAAGTATACTTTTCTTAAGACTTAAGCTTCGCTGAATTCGAATCTGACCTTTCTTCATCACATCTTGGATTCGAGATAATCAGGCTAATTATGAACATTTAACTACCTCCGTCATCCTTAGGTAGTTGTGGATTCAATAATTTCACAAGTTATAAACAATATTTACAAGTTAGGTATGACGTTCAGAATTTATTACAAATTTAACAGAATGAGACAGAAAACTTGGTCTCAGGGTTTCGACATTTCTTAAATTTTAAAATTAGACAAATTAAAATTAGACAAATTAAATTTGGATTCTTCGGATACATTTATTGGAAGACTATACATACATATATCGTAATTTCGAAGATGTTTTGTAACAGATATTAATACAACAAGAAAGACAAAAAAGAGAATAAAAGTCGAATTATATGTATTTTTTGTGTTTACACGATTGGTATAAAACAATAACAAAGTAAGATGGAAACTGCTGATCTGATGTGACTCTGACTAAGTTTGTCATTCCGTGTGTAACACCAAGAAATATTCATCTGAGACCCAACAAAGTATATATGAAATTCTGAGTCGATTTAGTTATGTCCGTCTGTCTATCTGGTTAAAACACCAAATTCACTGAGAATACTCATTGTTGTCCTAAACAGTTTTGAAAATCATCAAAATCGGTTCATAACTTAAAAATTTATGAGTCAAAATTTCAGACTACCTCGAAAAACAATAAGTTTTTTCCCTATTCTTGAGTAGTTTTCTCAGAAACTACCAAAGATAATTCGATGAATTTTGTCACAGATTATTTTTATCTAGAGATTAATTATGTTTAAAATTGTAACAATCGATCCAAAATTTCCCATAGCCCCATACAAAGGTACATATTCCGGGATATTAATTTATCGTTAATAACTTCCTCAAATATGTATATTGGTATTAATCTCACACTAAATTAAAATCACACTACCGACTTATATCTGTAACGGTCCACAATTGGTCATAGCTCCCATATAAGGTCCACCTTCGAAAATCACTTCATTGGTAAATAAAGCTATTGGTATAAAATTTGACATGAGTGTGCTTTATGTATATATAAATCACTCTACGGAATTTTTTCCGGATGGGTCCATTATTGGTCATAGCTCCCATATAAGGTCCACATCGGAAAATCACTTAAATGTGCATAATTCTATAAGCTATAAGGGTATAACTCGACGTGAATATGTTTTGTATATATGTAGATATACATAAATCACTCAGTGAAAAATTTTCCGGATCAGTCCACAATTTTTACTAGTTCCTATATAAGAAATTCCACAATTGGTCCTAGCTTCCATATAAAGGCCACTTCCGAAAATCACTTAAATGTACACACAAAATATATTGTGACTGCAAATAATTTTAGCAATTGATGATTTTGCTACTGGGATGAATAAAAACTTGTTGGAGAAAATGAAAACCTTTTGTCGCAAGAAAATTTCCAACAATATTGAAAGTATTTGAAGTTTTTTAACAGCAAAATTATTTGTTGCAAATAGAATGACTGTTGTAGTTAAAGGCTTTCCTCTGAAATAACGGCACATTGAAAATTGCTGTTGACGTAAATGATTTGTATTTGCAGTAAAAATTATGCATTTGTCAATGACATGATTGGTAGAGTTGTACCGCTCTCAACTAAAACGCTCTTTTTTAGTGATTGAGTTAAAGGTTATACTATAACTACAAAACAATTACAATAACAAGAGGTAATTTCTTTTTTGTGATACACTAAAACAATGTGTCAATGTTGTTTTTGTAATTGAACTGTAGACGTTGTAGAACCTTTTTAATAAATCACTAAAAAAGAGCGTTTTAGTTGAGAGCGACACAACTCTAATTATTGCGATCAGTATTGTTGGTGTGAAACAAATGAAAAAGTGAGCTTTTTTGTTTTAAAATAAAAATAAAAGTGTTTCAAATAAACAAACAACAATGTTGGAAGATATTTTTCAGGAAACAATTTGTACCGTGGATTTATACAAGGAAGTGCTTGCATTGCATTTAACATTATTCCGTTTTACACAACAGAAACAGAAAAGTACAAATGCAAAATGTTGTTGGGCTCAATCCGAATGTAAATTTTATTTGAATCAAAGTCAAATTATCTTAGCATTACAGTCTTTTTTTCTATCGGGCTAAAATTTGATTTCAATCAGCGTTTAAATATGCAGCACTAGCACCACCTCTCTTGTATATGACTATAAATATGAAAGTTTATCATTTTTGTATCACTTTGCTACTAAAAATTGCAGTCATATATATTCGTATTAATATAAAAATTGCAACTCGTGTTTGCAATTTCTAGTAGCAGGCAGACATAATTGCAGGCCAACACAAATATATTTTTGTGCTTTAGCAGCGCACACTCAAATTTGTTAAACTAATATGGCGAGTATTGATGTTATTTTTGTTTGCGTTTAGTTTTTCCTAGCAGCAATGTAACTTTTTAGTTTTGCTACTGCCAGTTGTAGTTTTATTTATTATATTTTGGCAATATTGGCTGCAATTTGTAAATAAACATATGTAGGTATATATATGTAAGTACACTGTCAGTTTTATGACATTTCATGAGCTTAAATTCAGTATTACACTTCACATTTGTACGCATGTATGTATGTATGTATGTATGTATGTATGTATGTATGTATGTATGTATGTATGTATGTATGTATGTATGTATGTATGTATGTATGTATGTATGTATGTATGTATGTATGTATGTATGTATGTATGTATGTATGTATGTATGTATGTATGTATGTATGTATGTATGTATGTATGTATGTATGTATGTATGTATGTATGTATGTATGTATGTATGTATGTATGTATGTATGTATGTATGTATGTATGTATGTATGTATGTATGTATGTATGTATGTATGTATGTATGTATGTATGTATGTATGTATGTATGTATGTATGTATGTATGTATGTATGTATGTATGTATGTATGTATGTACGTATGTATGTATGTATGTATGTATGTATGTATGTATGTATGTACATATGTATGTATGTCGATATTAATATGTATATTTATTATCATCCATATATCGATGATATTCGACCTATAATATCCTGTACTGATTGACATATTAATTATTAAAATATAGTTTAAATATTCTCATAGTTTCTGTATGATATAATACAGAAAATACTACCTTGATATTTGTTTGTTTTTTTCCTTAATGTATTACACAATAATATTAACTACATTTCTTCAAAAAAAATTATATAATAATCTTCCACATTTTAACAGTGTGATTTGAATAATTTGTAAAGTAAGCTCATTAGAATTCAACGAAAAATATTTTAATTATGTGTGTTTACCCTGTTTTATACAAGGTGATTATAAATTTATTATTTCTACAACAAAAAATATTTAAAACTATCATTTGGTTATAAAATTGTTATAAGTATAAGCATATTATCTTACAACTACATTGCTCAAAAATGTTTATTCACTAGAACAAAATAATAAAAACATCTAAAGAAAGCTTTTAATTTGAGTTGTGTTTTATGGGGTAGCCATATTTTCAATACCATATACATATTTATTTAATTCATATGGAGGTTCCAAGCCCCCTAATAAAAGTCTGCTCGTTTTTTTCCAATGTTCATAATGAAGTTAAAGTTTTTCGTCAAAATTAGAAGATTCTGACTCTAATAGTTTCCGAGAAAAACGATTTCTGTATTCAATTCATATGGGAGGTGCCACTATGTTTATTTTACAAACTATTTTTTATGTTGCGAAAAATAATTATCCTTAATTAGAGATTGTGGTAACACTGGTATAACTGTTTATTCATAAAATAAAATATAAAAAAAACAATAAATAAATTTGCAGCTAGCAGTTGCAAAACAAAATTTAATTGCTGCTAGGAAAAACTCAGCGCAAATAAAAATATCATCAATACTAGCCATATTAGTTTACCAGATGTGAGTGTGCGCTGCTATAGCACAAAAATATATTTTTTTCTTGTACAAAAACAAGAGATTAATACTGTTCATTCCTGCTGCTAGAGATTGCAGTGTAACGTCGCAATTTTTCTAGTTAAACATAAAAACAGAACGGCAATATTTAGTAGCAATGTTTTTTAAATCTGAAAAAGTTTAAATATTCTTAGTATGACTAGTGATAAAAATGTGTATTTTGCGGCAAATGCTGACTAATATATTAGTAAAAGTAAACACTGATTTCAATAAATTTTGTGTATATAGTCACATTAATGACATGGTCAATTTTATTAGATTTAAATGTCTCTGTTGAACAATTTCATATAAAAAGATTACTTTATAGTCCATTTTTCATATAAGCACTTTTCACATATATGCCATCTATCCCTCGCTATTAAAAGTCATGTTATATGAAACAACTTCACGATATTGTCACATATAATTTTTTTTTTAATATCATAAATGA